TCTTTGCTTTTCCTGCCTTTCCGCTCCATTCGCTGCCTAGACCTACCCACTCTTAAGAAACCCCCCAGACTGTGACAGTCACAGAGGAAGAAGTTCATGTTTAGAGAGTAGTCGCTATTTTCTAGTTTTTAAGTTCTCTACGTGAATTATCTTGTTTCGCTTCAAAATGGCACGCATGAGGTAGATGTTGTTAGGATTACAACCTACAGATAAAACATCTTAAGGTTTGGAGTTCTTTGTGCATTCTTTCACCATCACACATCCCGGACTCCAGAGAGTGGCTCTGGAACCTATACTTCACTGCCCGTCTAACTGAGGCAAGGGGGTCCCTCTGTCCAATAGCGTCACTGTGAGTCAGAATCAGCTCAACACCACACACATCTCTCCTCTAAGCTTTTAAAGGAGTCTATATGACTCTTTTGATACGCATCTTCTGGACTTTGTACAGTTTTCTTCTTTTGTATGTTTGTGGACTTTAAGCTTCAGGAGGGCTTCGGTCTGTCGCAGGTAATCAGGAGTGCCACATCTATATGGCTGGACCAGTTGAAATGCTGAAATACTAGCGAGGCAGTTGGTTACTACCAGTGGCTGGAGCCCTCCCAGCCCCTAGTCCAGAAAGCTAACTGTGTTAATCCCTATTCTTGGAGCCCAGCCCTCCTTATCATCCAGCAACTACAGGATGGGGAGCTCTCAGACTCTTCCTCTTCTGTTCTAAGAGGTCTGCACATGCTGATTGGTCACTGTCATGTCTGAGCCTTCTGCACATCTTTCTGTGTATCTATATAAATCCCTGGTAAGTGTGTCTGAGCATATACTGATTAAGAGAGGAAAGTAAGGCAGGTAAGGGGAAGTGAGGAGGGTGGAGAGATGATGCTGACACCGGAGAAGAGTTACAAGAAAAGAGTCAGTCATGCCACATAGTCATCGTGACCCCCCAGTGAGTTTCACCATGCTTCAGAAACGAGGCACCATGCAAATGAAAGCCAGGATATGGTTTTAAATCATGTAGCAACTCAACACCTCGGTGACTCTGTCTTGGATCCAGAAGCGTGGGCTCAGCCATCACCCCTGGAATCATCAGCTAGAGAGCATTCCCTCTCTTTGTCCTGCTCTGACCAATCACTGCCCCGGGCTTTGCTGACTCCTGCATCAACGGGGGTTCTGCTTAAATACAAAGCACAACCCATCCCCCTGGGATACTGCCACAGAGAAGATGGTTGGTAATTTTTTTTTTAAACCACTCATTAAAAACCATTCTGAAACTATTTTATTCCCTGGATAAATATGGCATCCCATTAGCCTTCCAGACCGGTCCCTGAAATGTAGAAGAAAATTGTGCAGAAATACAGAGTTCATTTACTCAAGTAAGCACACACCTGCTTTTTGCATCACAGAATGGATCTATTTTCATCCCAGCAGCTGTCCCTGGGCCTGAGTTACATAAATGAATAATGCATTTAATATGTTATTAAATGGGGCTGCTACCTCGATAATAACAAGGCAACTTATGATTATGTTGGACCTAAGCTCTGAATATTACTGGGATGCAGCTAGTTGGTAAAGCATTCTTCAATCTGCCAAGAAGAAAAGTGCTTTGTAATGGC